GAGTCTCCCCACTCTGCAGAAAGTTGCGCACCCACCCGAGGCCCCTTACACCCATGCAAAACCCCCCCCCCCCCTTCTTCCTGGCCCTTCTTCATCTCTGCAATTTGCTTCCAAGAATCGATTTGCAGATGATGCACTTTTTTTTTTTTAATTTTTGTTTTTCTTTTTGGCTTGGGTTTGGGGGTGGTGGGAATTTAACCGTCCCCCCAAACAGAGGTCTGACCGTCGCCTTGGGTACGGGGAGGTGACCCCAAGACAAATGCGATTTCACGTCCTCACCTTTGCCATCGGTGGCTGGTTGAAGCTGTAGGTAACGATCCCAAAGATATGGGCCCCCGCGTTGGCTGATATATATATATTTTCCTTTTTTGATACCAGGGACGGGACTCAGGGGGCCCTCGATCCCCGAACCCCATCCCCAACCCTATTTTGCATTTTATTTAGAGACAGGGTCTCCCTGAGCTGCTCAGGGCCTCGCTGTGGCTGAGGCTGGCTTTGAACTCACGATCCTCCTGCCTCAGCCTCTGGAACCTTTGGGATGACAGACGTGGGCCACCGTGCCCGGCCCTATGGCTGACCTTAAGATGCATCTTTTCCCTAAAGCGAACCTGCGGCCGTCGGCAATGTGATTCCTGATTTCTTTGCAGCTCATGGGTGATCTCGGGGACGCCCCGATCTTCCACCAGCCGGATTGAGGCGGACGGCTGTGCATAGATGCTTCTAGCCCACCGACCTTGGGTGCCTGTGGGGGCTGATACATGCACGTACAATATGTGCAACTTTGAGTGCCCTGTATGGGGACAATTCTGCAGGACGGGTGCCGGCCGTGCGGTGGCTGAGTCGAAGGTGACCGGTGGGTATTGAAAACGGTAATTCACACGCCAAACGGAGCTCGGACTTCCCGGGAAAAGTGGGACTGATCTGCACACCCACCACCAGGAGACGACAGATTCGTCCTGACGGTGATTCACAGAGTGGTCACTTCCGTGACACCTCTGTGCCCCTCTCCGTCTGTCCTGCTGACGAGGATAGACAGACAGGTGCATCGGAAGCTCTGGGATTGCTGGAGAATATTCTAGTAGCGGGTGAGGTGCAGAGGGTGACTGTCACCTGCAGGGCAAGGTCCACAGGAAACCACGGGTGTCTCTGCTGAGGGCTGAAGGACCCAGTGACCCTCCCAACCAAAAGACCATGGCCACCACCTAGTCCCCTGTGCATCAAGGTAGCATGTGTGCCACCTAGTGGGAGGGAGCCGTTCTGGGGAAAGAGACAGGGACCCAGAGAGAGGGCCCATGGTTAGGGAGACCGAGGCTGCAGGAGTGAAGTGGGTGGATGGGTAGATGGGTGGGTGGGTGGATGGATGGCTGCAGTCTCCCTCTGTGGGGGTTGGGGGAGCCTCTTCTGTGGTCCCTGGATGTCCCTTGTGGAGAAACTGTGACGTCCTTCTGATTTCTTAGTTCTGAGTTCTAGACCCTCTTGCGGGGTGGGCGGGGGGGGGGGGGGGCGCTCACCTGATTAGGTCAGGCCCACCGAGGGCAAACCCTCGTCTCACTAGCTAGAGGTCACCTGCTTGGACACCTTCATGGCACACGGTGATATCCCATTTTACTCAGATTTCCCTTGCACAAAGAACCAGAGGGGAGCCCATGAGGTATGCACGTGCCACCTCTAGGTGCCGGCTGGTGACCAGGGAACCCTCCCATCTCACCTGTTAATTTGCTTTGAAAACGCGTCACGCAGCTGAGCGCACACGCAGCCTCTAAATTTAGCAGCTCCTCAGAGTCGACCCGCACAGCATGACACAAACACTGGGGACATTGGAAGTCAGGGCGTGACGCCTTTGAACAGGTGGCCAAGGTAGGGTGACATCACTGGGAATCTTGTGACAGATCTGGGGCAGGGTCACCCCGCGGCTTGCCAAGAATCGGGCAGATGGTCAGAGCTTCCCAGCCTACAGTTCAGTCACTGATCGTCCCCTCAGGGAGACACCACCAAAGAACTCCTTGACATTAGACATACTAATCAGGAACGGGTGAGTGACATGCGTGAGGGATTGGTCCCATCCGCTAATCCCATTATTGAGTCACCGAATTATGGCAGGGACTTTCTGTATGCCACGTCAGTATCTCAGATACCATGAGCCACCGTGTTCTGGGGTTTTCTTAGAGTAGCCGTGCGGGTTAGGATGACGTGAGTTTGCGTATTATGTATCTTATATGTCACTAACGACGAAAGGATTCTCTTATGCAGTTTTATCACGGGGGACTCACGCGACACCACGTTAACAGGGTACATCAGGAACAATCACACCGTGCATTTTACTCTACTGCAGAAATGGATCCGGGGGAACTCACACACACACCCGGTTAGTACGTTGCCTATCGTGAACGATCGTGTCACGGTATTTTGTCACGCTATAGAGTTCATCCCAGGGAACTCGTGCACCCAGGTATCACGGAATCCTGTTACCCATGGGGTCATACTCGCGGACTGTACCTAGAGCACGTCATCAGCTGCATTTCACTATCATCACTGAGAAGTGCACGAGGACATTCCAGACCGTGGCATTGCCTTGCGTGGGACTGAGGCCTACTCTGTCGCATTGCACGAGCACGTCGCATTTGCTGTGCAGTTTTACTATGTCCCCGAGGACTATGACCTGGGGTTCACATGTCCTAGGTTAGTCTGTCACCCCACTAACCACCGTAGTATTGATCTCCCTGTAGGAGAGAACTGCATGGCATTCATACATATCGTGTTGGCCTGTCACCCATCGGTGACAATGACACTCGGCCCATTACCTGGATTGCATGCAGTGCATTAGCATATGACCTGTCATTCACAATCCTGCTACTTTATTTCCCTGTGGGATTTACAGATACATCGTGCACGTTTTCACACCAAGGATCCATTGCACGGGGGCTGCACAGCTGCATCTGGACCCGTGCGACAGCCGCCCACTCTGGCCCAGCCACAGGTGGCCGCGTGGGGGCGGGGCGGACACGCACATGCGCAGGGGAGCCTCCGGCGGCCCGGAAGTCCCGCCTCTCAGGGGCGGTGCCAGGGCGCCGAGGCGCAGCCTGGGGCCGCCGCGCGTCCGCTTCCGCGAGTCCCGCTCCGGAAGCGGAAGTGCGTCACAGGGGGCGGGCGGCGGCGGCGGCGGCGGGTCGCGTCAGGGGCGCCTCCGGTGGACGGTGGCGACGCCGGGCGGGGAGGCAGTGCCTGCCCGGGGAACGGCGGGAGCGCGGGCCAGCGGCGGCGGCGGCGGGCCGGGACGCAGGCGGAGCCCCGCGCCGGTGAGTGAGTGGCGCTCTGGCGCCGGCCCGGCCGCCCCAACCGCCGCCCTGGCAGGGCCGGGCCGGCGGCAGGGGCGGGGCCTGGCGGCGGGGGCGGGGCCTGGCGGTGGGGCGGGGCCTGGACGGGGCAGGTACCTGGTCGCTCCGGGAAGGAGGTGCGGAGCCGCTCCGGGCCCGGGTGGGTGGGCTATGGGGGCCCGCGGGGGCGACTTCTGCGCCGGGAGGGTGGAGGGTGGCCGTGGTCAACGGCGTGCGGGGGTTGGGGGCTCGCGGCCGGGGGCGCCGGGGGCCGGTGCCCGGAGGGTGGGGGCTGGGGCTGGCCCCGGTGACGGCGGCGGGGTCGCTCCGGGGCCGCGGGCCGAGCCTCTGCACTGCACGGCGCTGCCAGGGCTGGGGACGTGGGGGCCACGGGGTGCGGAGGTCCGCGGTGTCCAGCTGTACTGGGTCCCCTGCGGGGCTGGGGCCCTGGGAGGGAGGGGCTCTAGGGACCATCGAGGTCGCGGGCGGCACGACAGAAGGGTGGTCGTCACAGGGAGGCCGGGGGCGGGGTACTGGCAGGTGGCAGAGCTGCCCTGGCTCCGGGTCAGTCGCCTGGTGCCGCCCTGCAGTCCTGCGGGAGGGTCGCAGGCTTCTGTCCAGACACCCACACAGGCCCTCCTCCTGGCGCAGGTGGTGTCCCCTGCCCTGGGACCCTGCATCTTGGCTGCAGGCGGTGGAGGGCAGGCCGTGTCCGTGCCTCAGGGCCTGGCGGGGAGCTTGCAGGTGAAGGTGGTGGGTGGCCGTCCACCTGCAGCAGTTCCAGCTGACCGGCAGAGCGGGGCAGGGTGGTTGGGAGGCGCCGGCCAGGTTCCAGGTCCCGGTGGGGGCTCGGGAGAGGCCCTGTGGTCTCTGGTGCTGGCCTGCCCACGGTGAGCCCTCAGGGTCGGTGTTCCGGGTTTTTTCCTGTGAGTTCTCTGTCATCAAACCACATACAGGGCCACAACAGGGCCACCTCCTTCCCAGTGGCGGGAGCCCGGGGCTCTCTGCCCCTTCCTTCCCCTGGTGTCCTCTGCACCTTCCTGTGGAGTCGGCCTGTCCGGCTTGCCCCTACCTGCTGCGCCCGGGACTGGGGGACTGGTCATGTTCATCCTGGGGAGCTGGGGTGCTGGGGCAGGTGTGCAGTCCTGGAGGCCGTGGGCCCTCACTTTCCCTGGAGGACCTCTGTCGACCAGTGTCTTCCCCTTCGGGTCCCACTCTCGGGGACTAAGTCGTTCTCCGCAGAGGAAGGCCCCTGACCAGGGAGGGCCGCGGTCTCTTCTCCCTGGGCTCCAATTCTGAGTTGGGCGCTGGGTCCCCTTGGCCCCGGCCTGGCCCTGACCTGCGCTCTGTGTTTCAGGCCCAAGGTCCCGGCTATGGCCGCGGCTACCATCGTGCACGACACGTCTGAGGCCGTGGAGCTGTGCCCCTCCTACGGCCTGTACCTCAAGCCCATCACCAAGATGACCATCAGCGTGGCCCTGCCGCAGCTGAAGCAGCCGGGCAAGTCCATCTCCAACTGGGAGGTGATGGAGCGGCTCAAGGGCATGGTGCAGCACCACCAGTTCTCGACGCTGCGCATCTCCAAGAGCACCATGGACTTCATCCGCTTCGAGGGCGAGGTGGAGAACCGCAGCCTGGTGCGGTCCTTCCTGGCCTGCCTGGACGGCAAGACCATCAAGCTCAGCGGCTTCTCGGACATCCTCAAGGTGCGCGCCGCCGAGTTCAAGATCGACTTCCCCACGCGCCACGACTGGGACTCCTTCTTCCGCGACGCCAAGGACATGAACGAGACGCTGCCCGGGGAGCGGCCGGACACCATCCACCTGGAGGGGCTGCCCTGCAAGTGGTTCGCGCAGAAGGAGTCGGGCTCGGAGAAGCCCAGCGAGGAGGTGCTGGTGCAGGTGTTCGAGAAGTTCGGGGCGATCCGCAACGTGGACATCCCCATGCTGGACCCCTACCGGGAGGAGATGACGGGCCGGAACTTCCACACCTTCAGCTTCGGGGGCCACCTCAACTTCGAGGCCTACGTGCAGTACCGCGAGTACGTGGGCTTCATCCAGGCCATGAGCGCGCTGCGCGGCATGAAGCTCATGTTCAAGGGCGACGACGGCAAGGCCGTGGCCTGCAGCATCAAGGTGGGCGGCTGCCCGGTGGCCGGGTGGGCGGGGCTCCCGCGGGTGGGCCGGGGCCCGGGCCCAGGTCGCTCGGCGGGTCCCCAGGGCCGCAGGTGCCTGCGGAGACCGCCACGGCCCGTGTCCTGCCTCAAGGTGTCCTTCGACTCCACCAAGCACCTGAGCGACGCCTCCATCAGGAAGCGGCAGCTGGAGCGGCAGAAGCTGCAGGAGCTGGAGCGGCAGCGCGAGGCGCAGAAGCGCCGCGAGAAGGAGGCGGAGGAGCGGCAGCGCGCCGAGGAGAGGTGCTGCGCGCGTGCCCCGTGCGTGCGTGCGCGTGCCCGAGCGTGCGCGCCGTGCCGCCACCTGTGCGTGCTCGCGTGTCCTGTGCGTGCTCGCGTGTCCTGTGCGTGCTCGCGTGTCCTGAGCGTGCTCGCGTGTCCTGTGCGTGAGCACGTGCCTGAGCGTGGCCCACCGTGTGCGAGCCCCTGCCCTTGCCCTGCCCCTGCCCTGCCCCTGCCCCGCCCCTGGTGGCCAGCGCCCCGTGGGAGGGACGTCTGCGGAACCGCGGGCCGTGCCTCCTGAGGCTGGGACCCTGCAGCGGCCCAGAACCAGCGCTTGTGCCGTGGTGGAGGCTGCGGGTGCCTCCAGAGGTGGGGGTGACGTTGGCCACGGCGCAGGCGTTGGGGTCTCTGGCCGTGGTGGAGCCGACAGGGCGACCCGGTCAGGGCCGCCTGCCGCTGTGGCTCAGCACGGCCCGCGACGTGGGCGCAGTTCCGTGCAGCTCGGGCGGGGACAGGTCCACTGCGAACCACGAGCTGCGGTTTCTCTGCGGCGTGTCCGCCCTCCCCCCGCCCCTCTGCTGGGCCAGCGGCCCCGCGCCCCGCTTCTGGCCCTTGAGCGCGCTGCCCACGAGGTGGGGGCTCTACCTTATCATCGACCACGATTCCCGTTGTTTCTCAAGTGCACGCGGGCTGTGCGTGGGTGTGCGTGAGTGTGCGATGCCGCACGTGTGCCCAGCGGCCCCAGCGCTGGGTTCCACAGTGGGTCCGTCCTGTGTGACCTCAGGGACCTTGTGCTGCCCCCGCCCAGCCTTGTGGAGGAGCCCCGTGGGCGGAGGCGACAACGCCGGGGGAGGGCGGCCGCAGTGCGCTTGGGCCAGCTGTGTTTGGCGGAGCTGGAGTTGAGTGACTGGTGCTGTGGATCTTACGGTGACCGCGGGGCCTGGCGTCCTGCATCTGGGACGGAGCCTGGAGGCAGGGCAGGGGCTGGGGTGCGCAGCAGTACCACAGGCTCTCCTGTCCTGTGCCCGAGCCAGCGGCTTGTTCTTGGAGGCGGAGGCTGGGGTCCTCCCACTGGCCTCCCCGTGTGGCAGGAGGTCCCAGGTGTTCCAGAAAGCAGCTCTGATGTGTCGTGACCAGAGCTGGGCCTCCGTCCGCACACCAGATGGGGGGCCTGGGGAGATGGCCGTGTCACAGCCTTGCAAGACAGCCCGGGGGGGGGGGGGGGCGTCCGTTTAGGGGACAGAGGGCCAGAGGGCGAGGGGCGCCCTGTGGAGCCCGAGTGGGGAGAGGCAGGCCAGGCCGAGGGGCGAGCTGGCCTGGGGGGCGGCAGAGCACCCCCAGGCCTCTCCTCTGCGGCGAGTGGGGCCCCGGAGGCTCCCACGACTCTCCACCGTGGGAGTCAAGTTCCAGCAAGGGTGTGAGACTTGCTGCTCGCTTGGGGACCAGGCTTGGGACCTTGCAGGCAGCAGCCATCCGCAGGACCTCCAGGGACTGCTGTGACCCTGCCCCCGCCTCAGCCCGGTGGCATTGGGACCTCTGGGTGCCACGGCTCCCTTGGCTGCTCTTGCCCCTGGGTGCCTCCTGGCCTTGTGCTGGGCCCACCCTTTGCTGGGAGCAGGCAGTGTGCTCAGCTCCTGGGGCCCGTCTTGTTGCTCCGCCACCTCTCTGGGCTGGGGGCAGTCAGTGGGTCCCCTCTCTAGGCCTGTGGACGGTGTGCCTGGGCCAGGCGGGGGCGCGGACGAACGGGTCGTCGTTCCTCCCGCGTCCTCTGGGGAGCCTGCGTCCCTCCGTGCACCTGATCCTGCTCTCGGGGCCAGGGTCCTGGTGGTCCCGCCTGCCGTGGCTCTGGGGAGTCGCTGTAGGCGCCAGGGTCTCTCGGGGGTCCTGCAGGACAGCCTGTGGGGAGCCCTCTGCTCCCAGCAGCCCCCTGGGTTCTGCCTTGGCTGGGGCCAGGGCCTCCTGCAGTGTCCCCATCCCCAGGGCCATGGAGAGCAGGGCTTCGAGGGCTGCCCCAGGGCCTGGCTGACCGGCTGTGGGCTGCTGGGGCCGGTGGCCGCACCGCTAGCCGGTGTTGAGGTGCAGTTTGATGGAGTCTGCCGTGGTCACTGTCACCTTGATGCCAACCCTGGGAGGAGACAGGAGGAGTCCCTCCCCCGGGCTCTCCGGCCCTTCTAGTGGGGTCCAGGCCGTGGTCAGTGCTGCTCTGTCCGGGTGACCTTGCTTCTGTTGGGCCTGGTCCCCAGGCTGGCTGTGCTCCTGCGGGCCTCTTGCCTTTTCCTCGGGCTGTCCCTCGGGCGGTGTCCTGCGGTGTGCGGGGGTCCTGCCCCTGTCTCTTGCTCCGGAGCCGCCGGGGGCTGCCGCCTCTGCCCAAGCCCAGGTGACAGGAAGCTGCGTGTCGCCAGCGCCGACCTGTGCTGTGGCGGGGCGGCTGGGGTGGGCGCGCTGCTGTGGTCTCCGTGGCCACCTGGTGCTGGCCGAGGCCGCCTTGTGCCGCGCTTCCCTCCGGGCCCTGTGTCTTGTCCTCGCGGGGCCGCGAGCCTGGCCCTGGTTCCGAGGGCGCCGCCCGAGTGCGCGGCCGCCCGGGGCCCAGGGTGCCCGGTGTGGGGGTGGGCCTCCCCTTGCCAGGCTGCGTGCTCCCTCTCCAGACCCCCGCTCCCCGGGGTCCCTGGTGGGCGGCGTCTCGGGGTGCCCCCGCCTCGCCCCCCGCTGCGGTCTGTGCCGTGGCCCCAGCAGCCCCCGCTCCCCGCAGGAAGCAGAAGGCGCTGGAGGAGCTGGAGCGCGAGCGCAAGCGGGAGGAGAAGCTGCGCAGGCGCGAGCAGAAGCAGCGCGAGCGCGAGTCGCGGCGCAGCCAGAGGAAGCTGCAGAAGGTGCAGGCGGAGGAGCAGCGGCAGCTGCAGCACAAGATCCGCCTGGAGGAGCGCAGGCTGCTGCTGGCGCAGCGCAACCTGCAGTCGCTGCGCCTGGTCGCCGAGCTGCTGAGCAGGGCCAAGGTACCGACCTGGGGGCGGGGGCGGGGCCCTCCCCGTGTGGCCGGGCGGCAGCGCCCTCCCCTGGGGCCGGCGCTGGGAGGGCGCAGGGCCGCGCTGGCCTTCCAGGCTGCTCTGCACCGGGCTCGGCGGGTGGCCGGGCGGAGCGCTGCCCCTCGTGCCCCTCGTGCCCCTCGGGCGGTGCCTCTGTGCCCGCCGACGGCCCGCCACGTGGGGAGGAGGCCGAGCCTCCTGTAGGAGGGGCGCCCGCTGCCGCCCGCGACCCTGGGCGGGACCCGACAGGTGCCGTGGCCCGGGCCTGAGCCTTGCGGCCGGAGCTGCCTCGCCCCTGCCGAGGCTCCCGGTGAGTGCGGCCGCGCTGAGCGCACTCAGGCCGTGGTGCGAGCTCCCGGGGACCGGCGGCGCCCCCTAACCTGTTGTCTGATTGCAGCGGTGCTCAGCTCCCCGGGAGGCAGCCTGGCCAGAGTGCTGAGACTCGGGCAGCTCGGCCCGTCCACGGTGAATATTGAAGACACTCACCCGGGCCGCGCCAGCGCCCACCGGGCCGGTCCAGCCGGCCGCCTAGCGCCCCGGCTCCGCTCCCGCGGCGGCCACCGCCGGCGCCCCCACCGCAGGCTGGGTGGGGCGTCTGGGGCGCTGGGCGAGGCCCAGCCCGCCGGCCCCGGGGCGACCAGACCGCTTGTCCCCAGGGAGCCCGGAACGCCAGGCGGCCTGCGGCCTCGCCTCTGCAGGCCCCGGGCCCGGGTGACGTCCTCTGCTTCCCGGCCACAGGCTGCCAGGCCGTCCTAGCTCCGCGCTGTGGCCCGCGTGGCCCGCAGTCCCTGAGCTGTGCCCTCCCCACGCAGGCCGCCAAGCTGCAGGAGGCCGAGCAGCAGGAGGAGCGGCGGCGGCTGCAGCAGCAGGAGGAGCGGCGGCGGCTGCAGGAGGCCGAGCTGCGGCGCGTGGAGGAGGAGAAGGAGCGCGCGCTCGGCCTGCAGCGCCGGGAGCGGGAGTTGCGCGGGCGCCTGCTCAGCCTCCTGCTCAGCCGCAAGGCGGACGACGCGCGGCCGCCCGAGGACCTGCTGCAGCCCGTGCTGGACATCCTGCAGACCGTGTCCTCCGGCGGCGTGGGCGCCGCCTCGCTGCACCCGCTCCTGGGCCAGCCGGGCCCCGGGACCCCCAAGGAGACCCCGCCGCGCCCCGAGGCCGACGGCGCCCCCCGGAGCGTGAACGGGAACAGCGCCGAGGAGACCGCGGGCCCGGAGGGCGGCTCGCCCGAGAAGAGGGGCGCCGGCGTGCTCTCCTGCCTCCCCGACAACGCGCCGCCGCCCAGGGGCGCCCCCGCCGGCGGCGAGCAGAGCCTGGCCAAGAGGGAGGCGCGCTCCGAGCAGGACAAGTGCAACCGCGAGCCCAGCCGGGGCCGCGGCCGGGCCAGCCGCGAGGGCAGCGCCGAGGACCGCCGCGCGCGCGAGAGGAGCCGGGCCCGGCGCACGGGCAGCCGCGAGGACGGGCGGCCGCGCCAGGAGCGGCGCTCCCACAAGAAGCACCAGGACCAGGACCAGGACGGCAGCCCGCGGCGCAGCGCCAGCCCGCGGAGGTCGCACAGCCAGGACCGGCGTGGCCGCCGGGAGCGCAGCCGGCAGCGCCGGGGCAGCGCCAGCCGGAAGCGCAGCCGCCACCGCCGCCGCAGCCCGCACTCCCGCCCGCGCTCGCCCAGCAGGCAGCGCAGCGCCTGGAGCAGGTGATGAAGGGCGGCGCCGGGCCAGGGGCCAGGGGCCAGGGCCCGCCCGCTCCGCGCTCTCCGCCCGCCCGCCCGCCCGCCCGCGCACCGCCACGCTGACTCCCACAGCCCAGCCACCCGCGGCCGCCACCTGGCCACCCGCCGGAAGACGGTGCCGGGTCCCTCTCCAGTCTCCACGGCCCAGCTGGCCAGTCCGGCCGCGTCGGCCCGCGCCACGAGCTTTACTTCTCCTCTGAACCTGCTGACCCGATAGCTTTAATGTCGCCTGCCTCGGAACCGGGAGAGGCGCCCAGACCCGCGGAAAGACGGGCCGCCGCGCCTGCGCTCCAGGGGCGCGCACCAGCCTGTCCTGCCTGAGGCCGGGACCCTCCAGACCCCAGCGGGCCGTCCGCCTCCCGCAGGCAGCGAGCAGGGAGGGCCCTGGGGCTGCGTTTCCTCCTGTCCTAACTGACCCATCCGGAATGGCAGCCGGGGATGGCCAGCCACCGAGGTGACGGCCAGGAGCCAGGGTCGCCCGATGCCCCTTGACTTCAGACCCTCCCCGTTTTGTCCCCGGGCGGTGAAGCCCGAGTAGGTTACAGGCTTTGGTCTAGGAGGGGTCAGCGGTGGTTTTTCTAAGAAGCCGTTTTGCTAAATGATTTTTACCTGGAATGTGCCCGACAGTCACGGCCCCAGCGTCCCGGCCCGACGCTGCGTTCTCTACCGTGTCCTCAGACGGTGACGCGCAGACACTTGGTAGCTGGCCGCCCCTTAGGAGGACGTGTTCACTGCAGTTTGCCTTTTTACGGTGAAATAAACCTTTTCCACGAACTCCGCTGTCGCCCCGTGTGCTGTGGCTGCGGCTCTCGGTGTCCCCGCGGTCCTCCCTCTTTCCCCACTGTCTTTCCGCGTCTCCTGGGCGGCGAGTCCCTCGAGGCCATGAGGTCAGGAGCCTGGCTGGGTCAGTGCGGCTCTGGCCCGCGAGGCTCGGCAGTCCCAGGTGTGCGTGCCCGGTGACGGTCCCTCCTGTCCTCCCGTGAGCCTCGGTCACCGTCTACCCTGGGAGGCCGGGCAGGAAGGCCTCGCGGACACCCGCCTCTGGAGCTCCGAGCTCCGTGTGGTCCGTCCCTGCGTCCCGGGAATCGAGCTGGGACAGCGGGGAGGACCGGCACCCTGGGGGGCTGTGGACAGCATGGTCAGCCCAGCCTGGTGGACCCGGGTGCAGAGGGCCTTGGCCTTCCCGGGAGCCGCTGGTTCCCAGCCCCAGGCCACTTGGTGCGCGCGCAACCTTGAGAGCCTCCCCCTGGGTGGGCGGCACCCTGCTGCTGGCCACGCCCACCCGGCCACGCCCACCCGAGCCGAGCCGTGGGCGGGCAGAGCGGAGGCCGAGACCCCGTGTGAGACTGGATTCACCAGAGACGGGCCCTGACAGATGGCCGCCTGCCCCAGGTGGTCACGGTAGCAGCTGGCACCACGGTGGCCCTGGCTGAAGGGTCTCAGGCCACGAGGGCTGGCCGTGCCCCTGTTCACCCCGAGCTCTTACCCGATCAGAAACCAGGGCTCACAGACGGCGTCTCTCGTCACCTGTGTCCTCCCCAAGTCCCCTGCCCCTGGCCAGGCCCCCCAGCCTGCTGCTGAGTGTTGGCCTGGTGAGTCGTGTGTCCCGGGAAGGGGCTGGTGAGGACGGTCCCCTGCCTCCCTGGGTGTCGGGAGTGAGCACAGGAGGACACAGGGCCAGGGGGCAGCGGGCCGAGGACCCTGGGACCGGAACCCTGTGTCCCAGCGTCAGGAAGGAGTGAATGTGGCTGAAGGACAAGGTGTGGCCAGGGGAGGTCAGGCACTGACCAGATGACGTGCTCAGACTCCCAGCCTGGCTGGGGGGAGCACTGGGGACAGGCCCTGGCCTGGGCGCCACACGGGCACTGAGGGGACTGGGCCTGGGGAGAGGGACACACGGTGTCACACTGGGTGTGTGTGTGGCCTAGTGGGCACGGGCGTCCAGGGGCATTGAGAGATGGCCACGGGCACGGTGCTGACCGACCGTCAGTGCCCTGCGTTCCCATTTGGAGGCCCGAGAGTTAAGCGGAGGCAGGGGCTGTCCGGTGTTGGGCGAGGGCTGCTGACATCGCGGCTCAGACGGCGGGACTGTCCTGGTGCCCACAGGCCTCTGCCCTGGGGTGGACAAGCTGGGCACAGCGTTTATGTCAGGTGTGGGGACAGAGCTGGGGCAGGGCTGCGGACGGCTCCACTGGGCCCGGGAGACCGCGGCCAGCCGGGCGTCTGGTTCCAGGAGCACAGGCTCTCTGCCTGGGACAGGGCGCCTTCCCTGGCCTCCGCCGCGTCTTCGTGCTCGGCCGCACACGGGAGGCAGCGCCCCCGGGAAGAGGCGCCCGCTGGGTCCCTGCTGGAGGCCGGCCATCGGGGCGAAGCGTCGCAAGGGCGGCAGAGAGTGCCCTTGAGGGTGGCCTGGGGACCGGGTGCAGGACGGGGACGTCTGGAGACAAGGCACGTGTCCCCAGGGGTCCTCAGGCACCCGGTCCCCTGGGCTCCCCTCGGCTGTAGGCCCAGCTCCCGGGCGGCCCGGGCGGCAGGGTGCTGCCGATGACGTCCCCCAGGGCCCCTGCTTGCCGGTTGGCGCTGAGGCGACTGTCCACAGGCAGGCCCCCTCTGTCCCTGCTCTGACCCTCCCGCCTCCGCCCTCACCTCCAGGGCCTCTGCTGGGGCGGACGCAGCCCAGGGTGGGCACCAGAGCCGTCCCAGTGCCCTGCCCTGCCCTGGCTGAGCCGGGAGACGGCCACCCGGGGGCCAGGACGCCGGCCTCCCCTCCCCTGGGACCTGCCTGGCCCTCAGCCCCCGTCTGGAGGGACCTGGGCGCCAGCTCTGCCTGCAGACCGCAGGACCCAGGCGGCCCCAGCACTGGGCAAGCCGGGCCTCACCTGGGGGAGGTGACCGGGGTCCCGGACCTCGGTGACCTGGGGACACTTCTGCTTTTAAAGTATAAGCTGACTACATACGGAGGTGGCCTGTGCCAGGGGACACCTGGGCTCCTCTGTGTGCACTGAGGGGCCTGGTCAGGGGACACCTGGCCCCTCCCTGTGCACTGAGGGCCACCTGCACTAGGCAGCGGAGTAGGAGCGCGGGTTCCTGCTGGCCCTGCTGCAGCCTGAGGACAGGTGCCTGTGGAGGGACCGCCCGCTGCACACCAAGACCCAGGTGCGAGGTGCGTGCGTGGCCTCCAGGGCCCCGGCAGGGAACGGGCAGCTGAAGGGCTGGGGTGTCCTTCTCGGGTCGACGGCCTCTGCCCTGGACAGAGGTGGCCTTCCTAGGTCCTGAGCCACCCGGGTGTGCACACTGGGAACACCGGTCACAGTCGGCCTGTGTCCCCCCCTCTGTCCCTTGGGAGGACACGGCCATGGCACGAGGGCCCCCTGTCACCTGATGACCCGTCCCCGGGCCCGTCTCCAGGGCTCCCAGAGGTGTGGGGTGGGGTTTGCTTCCCGGGACCCTCAGCCCAGCCTCGCGCTCCTAGACCTATTAAAGTGACGGGGACGTGTTTGAAGCCACCGGGTCGTGAAGTGGACGCAGCCACGTCCTGCCATGTGCAGAGTCGTCAGGGACCCTGCGTTGTCCACCGTCACGACGCCCGGTGGGTGTTCACAAGTGCATCTGACAGACCCTTGGTCACGGCGGCTCGTCTCCGGCTCCGACCCCCTGCCACCCGCTGCACGCTGCAGGCCCTGGGGACAGTCTGCAGGCCCTGGGGACAGTCTGCAGGCCCTGGGGACAGTCTGCAGGCCCTGGGGTCCCCGTGCCTGGGCCTGTGGGTCCGGGAGCTGGACCCTGGCCTTGGGGCCCGCGCTGGGCCTCCGTGGCCACCCACCCGGCCTCACCCCCGCCCAGCGCTGCAGGGTCGTCTCAGGGGCCCCGCACACTCCCCGGTCCCCTCCCCTCCGGGAGGCCTGGCCAGGCCAGCTGCGCTGCCCATCATGAGGGACAGCGGGGACGTTTCTGTCCACGCCTTACGGTGCCTTCGCGTCCTGTGACAGGTGACAGCCACCCCGAGCCCCTTCCCGCGTCCTCCTGCTCACGTCGGGCGTTAGAAAACGCAGCCGTCCCTCAGCCACGGGGGCTGCTGGGGTCCCGGCTGCAGGACCCCCTCAGGTTCCCAGCCTCAGAGCCCCGTCCTGGCCTGAGAGGACCCTGTGCACACGCTGCCCCCTTAGAGGACGGCCACGGTCACCGCTCGGTTCCGGGTGACGGAGGGGAATGCGCCCCGGGGCAGCCCTGTCTGTTTGTGGGGGGTGGGCGGGGGAGAAACTCATCCCGGCCCTTTCCTTCACTTGGGTTGAGGCTGGGTCTCGCCAAGTGGCCTCGCTGAGCTGCTGAGGCTGGCCTCCGACTCGGCGGCCTCTTCCCACAGCCTCCCGAGTTGCTGGGTTCAGGTGTGAGCCGGCCACGCCCAGCGTCCACCTGGAGCCTGTGAGCAGCTCGGCGGGGACCCTGGTCCCGGGCCGTCACCCTCTGGGTCCCGGGGCCGTCGCCCTCTGGGGCTGGGCGGGAGGCTCTCTGCTGGGCCTCAGCCCCTGGATCCCCCGGGACAACCGGAACCTGCCCTTCCGTTTGGAAGGAGGCCAGGGCCTGGGAGCCCCGTGACCCCGGTGACGGCCGGGGAGCATCTTGGTGTCCTCTCCCTGCTGACGGCCGAGGCCGCGTCCTGCTGTTCCCCTGGCGACCGCAGGGCCGTGTGCCACCCGGGCAGAGAGCAGATGGCCGGCCCCCTCCGCCCCGTGATCCCTACATAAGGCCTGGTTCCTGGGGAGTCTGTCCCGGGCTCAGGCGCCTGCCGAGCGGCGAGGGTCCCCAGCTGGCGCCCGCACGGGGCCGGCGCTCCCTGGAGCAACGACCAGGGGCTCAGACGGGACCATGGGCTCCGCGCTGGACCCCGCCTTCCGCCTCCTGCAGGAACACGCGCACGGCTTCATGGTGTCCCAGGTAGGAGCCCGCGGGGCCACGGTGGGGGTGGGACCCGCTGCGCCTCCCGCATGGCCCAAGGAAGAGCCGGTCACCGCCCAGGGCCCGTGGGGACCTCCCATGGAGTTGCAGGAGGGTGGCCTTGAAGCTGAGGACCAGCCGGGCACGTGGCGCTCGCCTGTGGCCGAGGCAGGAGGCCGAGGCAGGAGGCCGAGGCAGGAGGCTGGCGAGGTCAGACCAGCCTGGGCCACAGCGAGGCCCTGTCTCTAAATAAAATGCCACACAGGGCTGGGGAGGGGGCTCAGGGTCGGGGGTCCCCGAGGTCCGTCCCCAGTGCCCCCCAAATGAATGACAGCTCCCCCTCCCCCGGCTCTCGGTGCTGTGGGGGCCACCCTGTCCAGGCCTGGGCAGCTCCTCTCGAGCAGCGGCTCTGGTCAGGGAAGGTTCTGGTCCTGTGCCGCGGGCTCGGTGCCTGCCGCTGCAGGTGCAAGGGCGGCTGGTCCCGGGGTCAGCTCAGGGTCAGCTCAGACGGAGCTTGTCCTCCACCCACGGTCACAGCTGTCCTGGTCCCCTGCCTGGTCAGACCCTAGGGCTCTGCAGCGGTCACCTGAGAGCCGGGAGCCTCTGCCCGCAGGGCGCCGTGTCCTCCCTGTCTGTCTGTCCGTCCCTGGTCCCTCGCCCTCCTAGGGAGGACCCGGCAGCCGGGGCTGCCCCCTGCCCCTCTGCTCCCAGGTGGGTCCCGAGTCCCAGGAGAAGAATGTGGTCACCAGAGGGGACACCGTGTGACGTTAGTGAGCAGCAAGGGTCACCCTGCACGGGCAGCCCCTCCCCAGGACGCCCAGGCCCCGAGAGGAGCCCCGTTAAGAGCCGTCCCCGCGCACAAGGTCCGCAGGGCAACGCAGGGCGGTAAGACGTCCCCACGGAGGACGTCAGCGACACAGCCCCCTCCAGCAGGCCGTCATCAGCTCACGCCCAGGGTGACGGGGCAGCCCCCGTGACAGAGCCTTGGCCACTGCAGGGTCCCCAGAGGAGAAGTCACCCCCCAGCAGGACCCAACAGAGAGGGGGCGGGCAGCTGGGGGGGGGACGCGGTCCATCCCTGGGACAGAGGTCACGGCCCGTGCCGGGCAGCCAGTCAGCGAGACCCCAGAGGACAGGGGCCAGCCCACCTGGCGGCCAGGAGGGGGCCCAGTTGGCAGAACAGGGTCGATCCGGCTCCGCCCCGGGGTCTCAGCGCCCGCCCACCCCGAGCCAGATCCCACTGAGTACGAGGTCGGGCCGCGTCCCCCAGCGCCCCTGGCGCCCGCTCGACAGAGCAGGTGGCCGGAGCAGCTGACTGGGCCCCAGCTCCCGACCCGACCCTCTGACCACCGGGAGGATCACGCGACCTCGAGAGAACCAGCTGGACACGGGGCTCGCGCGGTCACTACAGCTGCCCCCACAGGACGCCCCCAGGTCTCGGGCGTCCACAGCACGGCCTCCAGCCTCCTGAACAGGAGGAGGCCAGGGCAGCCTCGCAAAGCCAGCAGCTGGTGCCGCCCCCAGAGGACAGCAGGAGACCCGGGGACACAGCAGGCCACCAGTGAGGGCCACCCGGAGGGGACTGCAGGGACGGGGAACTGTCAGGGCTGTGGGTCCATTACTGTCATCGTCATGAAAACACAGCGGGCAGGTTCACAATAGTGTCGTCGTCATGCTGCCCTCTGCTGGGCACAGGCTGCACGCCGTCACCCAGCGGCCCTGGAGGCTGAGGCACAAGGACCGCAAGGTGGAGGCCAGCCTCAGCAACTCAGCAAGGCCCTGCCTCTAAGTCAGACCAGAGAGACCTGGGAGGTGGCTAAGCACCCCGGGGCGCCGTCCCCACCCCCCAAAAGGAGGGAGGGAGGACATGACCTCGGCGTCACGGGCAGAGGGTCAGCCAGCGCGGGAGGGACAGAGGGTTGACCCGAGTCGTGGGACGCGGTGGGTCCATGTGGCGCAGCGCCTCTCGACTCCCTACGGACAGGCACCTGTGTCCTAGGGACCCACCTGCTCAGATGCTCCACAGAGGTGGCACTGTCCCCTCCTAGTCTTGGGGACGTCTCTTTTTCCGTTTGACCTGTTTCCAAGGTTGAGATGTCGTAGCCTGAACGGGGGCTTCCTTCCTTTTTCATGGCTGAACACTATTCCACCGTGCAGATGGCCACATTGTGTCTGTTTTCATCCCTTGGTGGCCACTTGGGCTGCTCCTCCCTCTGGGCTCTGGGACCCAGGTGGCCACTCTCCTACGCAGACAGCCTTGGACCCCTGCTTCTCATTCTTTTGGAGTCATGCTCTGTCATATGACAGTTCTACGTTGAATCTGAGAAGCGGCCACCTTGGCTGGGGTCACTGGGCTGGAACCCAGGGACGCCCTCCACTGAGCCCGCCCGCAGCCCTCTGTATTCATTAGTTCAGGGTCTGATTCCGGAGGCTGGCCTCCAACTCGCCCTCCTCCTGCCCCGGCCTCCCGAGCGGCTCGAGCGACACCCACGTCCAGCTGCCCGCTTGGATTCGGGGAGTCTGTCATGGTGTCACAGTGCGTCCCGTCCGAGTGACAGAAATAAAACACAGTAACAAAGGAGTCAGACTTCTCCCTCCTCCGCAAGGCACCCCGGGCCGTGTCCACCGCCTGCCCAGCCCTGGCCACCCCCCTGCGTCCACTCTTGGACGTCTCATCCCGATTCCGGGGGCCTCCTGGGCCGGCTCCTGCCCTCAGGATGACGTCAGCGGATGGCCCACAAGGTCACCCAGGACCCCGACCCGTGCCACCTCCTCTCAGAGCAGAGTCCAGTGGCAATAGTCCCCGTCACCAAGGGAATCAGAATCGGGGCCTCGGGGACCCAGCGCTGTGGGTGACCCCCGGCCGGTCACCAGGACGCCCCCGGTCACCAGGACACCCTGGCCTTTCCGCAGGTTCTCTTCGCCGCCTGCGAGCTGGGCCTCTTCGACCTGCTGGCCGAGGCCCCGGGGCCCCTGGACGTGGCGGCCATCTCCGAAGGCCTGGGCGCCAGCCCCCGGGGGACAGAGCTGCTGCTGGAAGCCTGTGTGCCCCTGCGGCTGCTGGACGTGGACACCCACGGGGGGACGGGTGAGCTGCCGTCGTGGGGGAGGGCGAGAGGGCCAGCCGCCACGTTTGCCAGCGGGTCGCCGTGGACAGCTGCTCCCCGCCCACCAGGGGCGCTGAAGGGCTTGCGGCTCTTCTCGGTTTGCCCTTGGGAGGCGGTGGGCCTTTAAGAGGTGGAGCCTAGCGGGAGGTGAGGTCACGGGGGGCGTGGCCTCCAGGGAAACACTGGGACCCCAGTCTCTTCCTCGGTTTCTCTCTGCCTGATTCCTGGCCACCTAGAGCAGAGCCGCTGTGGTCCACCACGTCCTCCTGCCATGAGGCCCTGCCTGGCCACAGACCCGATGGTCACTACAAGTGACCAAGAGCCAAAAAAGTACAGTTTCGTGTTTTTTCAGTTGGTTTTCTATGGTTCTTGGTCACAGTGACGGGAACCGGGAAGGGGCAGGCCCGTGTCCCTCCGCTGAGGGGCACTGCGAATGCAGAACCAGGTCCCTGTGGTCCTCTGGGCGCTGACCCCGAGGTGTGTACCTCTGACCTGCGGCATCCACCACGTGTCCCCGTACTGCTCAGGGTCGGGCGACCCCCGGGCCACCCCACCCCCTGGACTTAGGGAGAGCCCGTGCCCTGTTCCAAGGGTCACTGGGGGGGCCCTGAGAGAACCCCGGGGGACAGGGCAGCCGCCCCTTCTTGGAGCCGGGACTCGCCCCTCGAGCCTACGTTATGGGAAGGGCGCAGAGCAGGTGGCGCTTGGTCCCTGCCCGCACTGCGCCCTCACCCACGGGGACTCTGCGCGCACTGCGCCCTCCCCACGGGGACTCTGCCCGCACTGCGTCCTCACCCAGGGGGACCCTGCCCGCACTGCGCCCTCACCCAGGGGGACTCTGCGCGCACTGCGCCCTCACCCAGGGGGACTCTGCGCCCACTGCGCCCTCCCCACGGGGTCCCTGCGCGCACTGCGCCCTCACCCAGGGGGACTCTGCGCGCTCTGCGCCATCTCTGCGCCCTCCCCACGGGGTCCGTGCGCGCACTGCGTCCTCACCCAGGGGGACCCTGCCCGCACTGCGTCCTCACCCAGGGGGACCCTGCGCACTGCGCCCTCCCCGCGGGGACCCTGCGCGCAGTCCGCCCTGGCCGAGCGCACAGGAGTGAGGAGCCCCCGCAGGGCTGCCCGCTGCCCATCCGCGCCCGCTCCTCCCGGCCGCCCCACCCGCAGGGCTGCCCCGGGGCGTCGTGTGGAGGTCGCGTGCCCAGCGCTGGGGACGCCACGCCGCCGTGACGTCCACTGACGGGTCCCCGCCCTCCCCGCCTGTCCAGCCCGGTACGCGAACTCGGAGCTGGCCCGCGCCTACCTCACCAGCCGCAGCCCCACGGGCCAGCGCGCCATGCTCGGGTACCTGGGCAGCACCACCTACCGCTGCTGGACTCACCTGGCCGACGCCGTGAGGTGGGCGGGCCTCAGCCGTCCCCGGGGTGGGGCCGGGGCTGGGGCGATGACCCCCGGGGAGGGGCAGGTGCTGGTGGCCAGCAGGGGAGCTGTCCACGCTGCGCCCGGGTGTGGTGGACCAGGGGCCCTGCGGGGGGGGGGGGGGGCTGAGCCTGTGCCCAGATGCTGGGCCACCGGAGAGCTGCACCGGAGAAGCAGTGGTCAGCTCTGCAGGGGGACCGGCGGGGCCTCCCACAGGACAGTGTGTGCTGCACATGGGACACAGGGTGAGGGGACAGGGCACCTCTGGGTGCTGCCGCGGATGCTCACAATGTCCGAGGGGTGACGACACCTTCCTGCTCCTCAGACAGGGCAGCAACCAGTACCAGAGGGCCTTCGGGGTCCCCGCGGGGGACCTGTTCTCGGCCATCTACAGGTGAGAGCCCCAGCCGACTGACGGTCCTTCCTCAGGTCCCCTGCACCTGGAGGGACGACGCACAGGGGCACCCGAGGTGTCACGAACAGCACGCCCTCCCACTGCCCTGTCCCCGTCCCCGCCCGGACTTGGCTCACACTGGGACGGGGACCAGCCGCTGGGGAAGCTCTGGTGTCCAGGCATGGTACAGTGGCCCTTCGAGGGACACCTCCCCTGGGGTCAGACTGTAGGACAGTGGCCCTTCGATGGCCGTGTGCCCGGCTTCTCTTCCCGTCCCTCCCTCCCTCTGGGAAGCAAAGCCACCGAGAGGCCTCTGCACAGCCCCAGGGACCCCAGAGCTCTGGGCAGGACCCCGTCCCCTCCTGCCCTGTCCCCTCCAGTCCTGTCCGTCCTCCCTCTGGGCCCTGGGGGGGGGGGCGGGTAGACGCTGCCCTCACCTCCCCTGAGGGACCCTGGGGACCCCTCTTCCAACAGGAAAGGCCCCGTGGCAGGTCCTGCAGGGGACCGTAGCGGGCGCCGAGGCCCCTCCAGCTTCCCGGAGCTGGCACCTGGTGGCCGCACCAGGGCTGCCCGCGTCCAGTCCTGGGGTCCGGGTGCCGCGTCACCCTGCGAGGTGTAGGTGCGGACCCTCTGTCTGAGCCTGACCAGCGCCGTCCCGCACCCAGGTCCCCGGCCGAGCGGCTGCAGTTCACGCGGGGCCTGCAGGAGATCTGGAGCGTCGACGGGCGGCGGGTGCTGACCGCCTTCGACCTGTCCCCGTTCCATCGCATCTGCGACCTCGGGGGTGAGTGTCCTCGGACGCGGGCACTGTCCTTCCTGCTGTGTCCGGGGAGAGTATTCACCACGGATTTCAGGGGGCGCTCTGATGCCTGGGGTCTTGCAGAGGAAGAGGAAGAGACTGGGGTCCCAGTGACCTGAGGGGCTGCCAACCCCAGGACTGGTCAGTTCCTACAAGTAGGGAGGGAAGCTCCTTCAGGTAGCTTGGGTGTCACTGTGCCCAAAAGACCCAACAAGAACAATCAGAGGCGGAAGAGTCTCTCTGGGGCTCACGGTGTCCGAGGTCCAGTCCCTGGTGGCCGACTCCATGGCTCTGGCCCAAGGGGAGCAGAACAAGATGGCGGCAGGGCCTGGAGGAGGAGAGCAGCTCAGGACAGGGCACCAGGGAGCAGAGAGAGCTCTGCTCACCAGGGACAGGACAGAGACCCCAAAGGCACAGCCCAGGGACCCCCTCCTCCAGCCACACCCCACCTGCTGCAGCCACCACCCAGGGAGTCCATCCAAGTGGATTAATCCACTATGAGTCTACACCTCTCACAACCCAGCCGTCTCCCCTGTAGACCGTCTTGAAGGGTCTCCCGTGAGCTTTAGGGGACCCCGATGTCTGCACCGTAACACTGACCTGACCGTCCTGTGAAGGCCAGTCCCTCCTGGGCACACACCCAGCCTCCTCTTATAGGTGGACACCCTCCAAGCCAGTGTCCACTCCCTCCGCCGCCCAGGGTCACGGACTAAACAACTAGGGACGTTCTCCGCCAGACTGTCACTCAGACTCTCCCAACTAGCCAGTCCCCGCCTGCCCACCAGGGTCAGCGGTGCACGGTGGGCCACCCAGTGCCTCCCCGTGTGGCCCTGTGACACTCAGCTTCTGGCCGCTGCAACGCAGGCCAGAGACATCCGACTGGTCAAGAGAAAAGTCAACTCTGGGTCCCCGTCTTGGAGGCTGGGGCCTTGGGGCAGCCGCACATGACGGCGGGCGCCTGTGGCAGAGGAGAAAGAGAAGAGGACGAGCCTGGGGTCCCAGTGACCCTGCAGCACACTGGTCCAGTGACCTCAGGTCCCCACTAGGTGCCGCCACCTCCCGACAGCTCCAGGCTGGGGACCCAGCCTCTGACCGTGGCCTGCGGGGACAGTGGGGAAGCAGACTAGCCCCAGGGCCTGCCAGGCTCTCTCATCTGGGGAACCCGCACCGCAAACCCGCTGGCCGCCGGCTGCCCAGCCGTGGCCGCAGGGAGCCGGAGTTCTCCCTGGACCTCCGCGTTCGGAGCAGGGAGCCTCGGGCCTTCAGGGAACGCGGACACAGAACACGGCGAGCTCCTCGGGGCTCAGGGGAGGCTCCACGCAGGACACTCTCGTCCCCTGGGGACGGCCATGGGCAGGAAGACCACGCCCCAGATAGACAGTCCCTCCCTTCCCTGCCTGTCGGAGCCTCGGGCCCTCGCTCTGAGAGCGCCCGTCAGACTGAACGGAAGACCCACTGGGGACAGTGCGCAGCCTGTGCACCATCCTGGGGACCACCCCGTGCACCATCCCGGCCTCCACAGCTGTGCACCATCCTGGCCTCCACACCCCGTGCGCCATCTTGGTTTTTACATCCCACGCACCATCTTGGCCTCCACGCCCCGAGTGGCCTCCACACCCTGTGCACCATCCTGGCCTCCACACCCCGTGCGCCATCTTGGTTTTTACATCCCACGCACCATCTTGGCCTCCACACCCCGAGTGGCCTCCACACCCCGTGCGCCATCTTGATTTCCACCAGGGCCCTCTGGCCGTGCTAATGGAGGGTGCCCGGGTGGATCTGTGGTTCTCAATGGCCCTTGGAGACTCGGGCCGTGGGCCACCCTGGGGCCACCCACAGGGTCCTGGGAATGGCTCTCCTCACAAGCTTTGGGCGTGCCGCTGGTCCATGGGCCTCCCGGGGACAGACGTGGTGTCCCTCAGCCCGAGCCTGTCCTCCCAGAGGGCAGGAGGCCGGGGCAGGAGGATCGCGGGTTCAAAGCTCATCACTCAGCGAGGCCCAAGCCACTCAGCGAGGCCCTGGCTCAGATAAAAACAACAAAACAAAACAAAACCTTTTTTTCCTTTTCTTTACCCGCGCCCTGCCTCAGGCACTCTGTGACAGTGACAGATGGCCCGGTCCAGCCCAGATCCAAGGGCCACACGCAGGGCCCGTTCCACAGGCTGAGGAAGGTCCCCGAGAGGCACGGGAACCGAGGCCCGAGCATCCCGTCCTCACCGTCCCCGGGCATCAGAGCCACCGCTGGGACACCTGGCTCTGCGCCAAGAAAGGGTCCCCAAGCGGCTGTGCCTGTTGCTCAGTGCGTGACGCTGGGCACGCTCCATGGTCCTCAGCTCCCTGGGCCCATCTTTGTCTGTGTGTCCGTGGGTCAGGGACAGTAGCTGCTGCACGGGACACCGTCCCCGGTGGCCACCGGTGTCAGAGCACAGCGGCCGCCGTCCGTCCCTGGCTGGGCAGCAGCGCTGGCCCAGGGGACACAGTTAAGTCAAAGGCTGTGCCGAAGGTCGAGGCCTGGGGTCCTAGCCGAGAGGGCCACCTGCACCGGGGGCTCGTGGGTGGGGAGCACCGTGTCCAGCCTGGACCTGGGGTGGCCACACTGGGTGATCCGTGGCCCTGGACGCTGTCCCCCTGACGCCTGTGGTCACTTCCAGGTGGGGCCGGGGCTCTGGCCCAGGAGTGCGCCTGTGTGTACCCCGGGTGCCACGTCACCGTGCTCGAGGTCCCCGAGGTGGTCCAGACGGCGAGGGCCCACCTCCCGCTGCAGACGGAAGGGCAGGTTGGCTTCCGTGAAGGTAGGTGTCGCGGGACACAGTCCTGGGGACGCCCGGGGGGCCCACGTGACCTGGCGCACGGACCCTCCAGGTCCCCTCATCCCGTGTCATCGGAAGTCCCCAAGCCCCACGTTTCGGTGACTGTCCCGAGCGGCGTCCGTCCCACCTGCTCTGCGCCCGGGACCTAGGCAGCGCCAACCGCCGTCCCCGAGGGTCACGCTCTCCTGCCGCGTCCTCAGGGTCAGCCGAGGACAGAGAGGGAAACCAAGTCTTATGGACAGCTCGCGTCCACTCGTGCAGGGCGCGGCCATCGGGCGTCCAGCCTGTGGGCTCTTCCCAAGGAGACGGTCACTGGGGGCGACAGTGGCAGGCGGCGTCCACTCTTCACGGCGGGTGCCCGCCAGGCCTGGGGGGGGCTGTCCATCATCTGTGCCCCCGGGGGACGCTGTTAATGTCCAGGGTGGCCCCGGGTCCCCAGGGAGGGACCACACAGACCCCGGACGTCCTCGGCTGGGCCTCCAGGAAGCCGGCCAAGGCCCGCGCTCTGGCTCGGGTGCAGGGCGCGGCCAGCCCAGGGTCAGGGCTGGACACAGGTGGCCGCTCCGAGGTGTCCTCCCGAGATGGCGCCTGTGGATTTGTCAGGAAAAAGTAAGATTTTGAGAGTCGAGTGCTGGACGCCGTACAGGCTGCGAGCTGTCCCTGGGCGTCCCTTGGTCAGCTCGGAGGGGCCCTGACGGGCAGCAGGCTCAGGCCAGCTTCTCAGTGGCAGCCGCTGGGGCCGCGTCTGGGGCTCTGTGGCCATCGCCTGTGTCCCCAGCCCGGGCTGTGGGGTCCGCAAACCCCGTGTTGCCCGTTGCAGGGGGAGACGGTCACCCGGGCTGCCCAGGGTCCGCCTCTGCAGGGCTGGACCTGCTGGTCACTGTGAACGCCGGCTGGACGGGACCCTCCTGTGTGTTGCAGGGGACTTCTTTGAAGACCCCCTTCCCGAGGCCGACCTCTACATCCTGGCCAGGGTCCTGCACGACTGGTCAGACGAGAAGTGCTCCCGGCTGCTGGCCAGGGTCCACCACGCCTGCAGGCCCGGTAGGGGACAGGGCGGGGCGCGGGCCTCCTGTGACGGGGGTGGGGACGTCCCGCAGGCTGTCCTCCCAGAGGAGTGCTCACAGCCAGACTGGCCTCGAGGGCCATCGGACACTAGAGCCACCTAATCAGGGAGAAGCCGGGGACTCCTCATGGGCCAGAGTCCGTCACGTGTCAGCGGACTCCTCCATGGGACGGGGACAGTGCCCCGCTCTGCTCTGAGGCCACCGTCCTGGTGACCCTTGGGACCTGAGCACGGCCTCTGGGCCCTGGGGACAGTGCCCAGCTGTTCCCTAAGGTGACCCATCCTGGTGACCCCTGGGTCCTGGGCACGTTCTCTGTGTCATAGGGACAGTGCCCAGCTGTTCCCTAAGGCCACCCATCCTGGTGGCCATTGGGTCCTGGACACAGCCTCTGGGTGTCCTGGGGACAGTGCCCAGCTGTCCCCTGAGGTCACCCATCCTGGTGGCCCTGGGCCCTGGGCACATTCTCTGTGTGTCCTGGGGACAGTGCCCAGCTGTCCCCTGAGGTCACCGTCCTGGTGGCCCTCGGGTCCTGGGCACGTTCTCTGTGTCATGGGAACAGTGCCCAGTTGTCCCCTGAGGTCACCATCCTGGTGGCCCTCGGGTCCTGGGCACGTACTCTGTGTCATGGGAACAGTGCCCAGCTGTCCCCTGAGGTCACCCGTCCTGGTGGCCCCGGGCCCTGGGCACATTCTCTGTGTCATGGGGACAGTGCCCAGCTGTTCCCTAAGGCCACCCATCCTGGTGGCCATTGGGTCCTGGACACATTCTCTGTGTCATGGGGATAGTGCCCATCTGTCTCCTGAGGTCACCCGTCCTGGTGGCCCTCGGGTCCTGGGCACGTTCTCTGTGTCATGGGGACAGTGCCCAGTTGTCCCCTGAGGTCACCGTCCTGGTGGCCCTCGGGTCCTGGGCACGTTCTCTGTGTCATGGGAACAGTGCCCAGCTGTCCCCTGAGGTCACCCGTCCTGGTGGCCCCGGGCCCTGGGCACATTCTCTGTGTCATGGGGACAGTGCCCAGCTGTCCCCTGGGGTCACCGTCCTGGTGGCCCTGGGGTCCTGGGCACGTTCTCTGTGTCCTGGGGACAGTGCCCAGTTGTCCCCTGAGGTCACCGTCCTGGTGGCCCTGGGCCCTGGGCACGTTCTCTGTGTCATGGGGACAGTGCCCAGTTGTCCCCTGAGGTCACCGTCCTGGTGGCCCTTGGGTCCTGGACACAG